CCAGGCTATTATCTCAGCTGCTGTTAAGATATTGTGTTGTGTCGTCGCTCATAGGGACACACCACGCGATAACGATGGTGTTGAGATAGAGAGAGAGAGAGAAACAGAAACAGAAAAAGAGAGAGAGAGAGAGAAAGAGAGACAGACAGACAGACATAGACGAAAAGAGAGAGAGAGAGGTGGAGGGAGTGGGGGTCACACACATGTACTCTGCTAAGTTTACTATGCTCTCTATTTAATAAAGTTAACACTGGACTTTGGTATGTTGTAGCGTAAATGTTAATTAAGTTAGATAAAATATTCAACTAAATACTACATTTTTTTTTTTTAACCTTCACTGATGAAATTTTCCACCGTTAGTATTTTTTTTGGAGGGAAAGCCTACGTTAGATGCTTGTGTGTGTATGTGTGTGTGTGTGTGTGTGTGTGTGTGTGTGTGTGTATGTGTGTGTGTGTGTGTGTGTGTGTGTGTGTATGTGGGGGTGTGTGTGTGTGTGTGTGTGTGTGTGTGTGTGTGTGTGTGTGTGTGTGTGTGTGTGTGGGGGTGTGTGTGTGTGGGGGTGTGTGTGTGTGTGTGTGTGTGTGTGTGTGTGTGTATGTGTGTGTGTGTGTGTGTGTGGGGGTGTGTGTGTGTGTGGGGGGGTGTGTGTGTGTGTGTGGTGTGTGTGTGTGTGTGTGTGTGTGTGTGTGTGGGTGTGCGTATTTGTATATATGTGCTGACCAAAGGAAAAAAAATAGACTTAATTTGTTTCAAGAAAATTGGATCAAACCTCAAAACCAAAGCCTTACACGAGTTCAGAGTTCAAACATAATCTTTTATCATTGCTATACTACATCAAGACCTAACCTAACCTAACCTAACCTAACCTACACAACTCCTTAGTATCCAGCAACAAAACTTACTCCCATAGATTAATGCCATTCAGGTGATAACGTTAAAGGTAGATAATTATAGGTTCTTTTTCAATTTGTTTCTTTGCATATCTCATTCAATCTGTCTTTCTGTCTCATTCAATCTGTCTTTCTGTTTGTCTCTATCTGTCTGTTTCTGCTTCTTTCATTGGGTCAATCTGTCTGTCTTTCTCTTTTTTCTGCTATTCTTTTTATTATTCTTACTCCCTCTCTTTCTCTCTCATGACGTTAAACTCTGACACTGTGATAGCATTAGTCATGTGTTTTCCTACTCGCCTCCAACACCTCCCGTCATTCTTCATTATGTAAATCCAAACCATTGCGCAAAAACTTGGGTACCCTTCTGTGTTTGTTGATCATTGTTTTAAAAGGGCTAAAAAATCCTTTCATTCTACTCAAACCAGGCAAATTACTACACTTCAGAATATTTTGAACATAAGAACATAAGAAAATAAGGAGTCTGCAATAGGTCGGTTGGCCTGTGCATGGCAGCTCCTGTCGAGAGTTACTACCACTCTCTATCATTCATGAATCTATCTAGCCTCCTTTTAAAACTTTCCAGCGTTCCAGCACTTACTACAAAGTTGCTAAGCTTGTTCCACTCGTCCACCACCCTATTTGTGAAGCAGTTCCTTCCTATCTCCCTCCTAAACCTAAACTTATCCAACTTAAATCCGTTGCTACGAGTCCTATCTTGCTCGGATATTATAAGAACTTTATCTATATCTCCCCGCACTCTTCGTCTTTCTAGGGAATGCAAGTTTAGTTTTTTTAACCTATCTTGATATGGAAGGTTTCTAAGTCCAGGAATCATTTTCGCCATTCTTCGCTGCACCGACTCCAGTGAATTGATATCCATTCTATAATGTGGGCACCAGAACTGAACCGCATAATCGAGGTGCGGCCTGACTAGCGCAAGATATAGTTGCAATAAAACCTCTGCACTCTTATTACTTACACTTCTAGATATAAAACCTAATACTCTGTTTGTCTTATTTCGAACATTAACGCACTGTTTTCTAGGCCGTAGGCCCGGGCTTACAAGTACCCCTAAGTCTCTTTCACAAGTCGACTTCTCTAGGTTGATGTTGTTAAGGCTGTATACATTGACAGTATTTGTTCTTCCAATATTAAGTACGCTGCACTTGCTGGTGTTGAATTTCATTTGAAAATTTTCTGACCACTCCTGCAGTTTATTTAAATCCCCCTGTAGTGCATTTGCATCCTGCCCTGAATTAATCTGCCGCCCTATTTTGGTGTCATCCGCAAACTTGCTTATGCCATTGCTAATCCTAGTACCTAGATCGTTTATGTAGATTACTAACAAGAGTGGGCCTAGTACTAACCCCTGGGGAACACCACTGGTTACACAGCCCCACTCAGATTTAACACCAGCTACGCTGACCCTCTGCGTTTTATCGGTGAGCTATGATTTTATCAAATATAAAACTTTCCCCTCGATACCATGAGCCTTAACTTTTCTCAGAAGCCTCTGATGCGGTACTCTGTTAAATGTTTTGCCAAAGTCTAAGTAAATAACATCGTAATTTTCGTCATTATCTACTACCTCGAAGACTTTCCTACAAAACGTCAGCAGATTTGTTAGACAAGATTTTCCCTTTGTAAACCCATGTTGAGAGTCGTAGATTAATTTGCTTTAATCTAAATGCGATCTGATGCTATTTGTTATAATTGATTCAAGAAAATTCCCCACCACTGACGTCAAACTGATCGGCTGGTAATTTGACGCTGATGCTCTGTCTCCCTTTTTGAATATGGGTACTACATTTGCCTGTTTCCACAAGTCTGGTACAACTCCAGTGTCTAATGATTTTGTAAATAAATTTACGAGGGGTCCACTAATCTGTTCCCTACACTCTTTCAAGACTCGAGGGAAAATTTCATCAGGCCCTGGGGATTTTGTCTTCTTTAATGTATTTATCCCCTTAAGAACATCCTCTTTTTTGATAGTGATATTCTTTGATTTCTCTTCTTCCTTTCCCCTAAATATCAGTTCCACCTCTGGAATTTCCTCGCGAATTTCTTCTGTGAAAACTGATAAAAAGTAGCTGTTCAATGCTTTGCTTATTTCTTCACTGCCAACGATCACTTCCCCCCTCCCTTACTTTAAAGGCCCAACTTTATCCTTGACCATTGTTCTATATACAGTACCTGGAAAATTACCTTGGGATTCGCCTTGGAATCTCCTAGTATTCTGATTTCATAATCTCTCTTTGCTTTCCTTACATTTTTCTTAACATTCCTAGATGGTTCATTATACCTATTTCTGAGCAGCTCCTCCCCTCCCTTTAATTTCTTATAAATTCCTTTCCTTATTCCTATGTCATGTTTAAGTTTTCTGGTCATCCACCTTGGCCCATTCTTATTTGACCTAATGTTTCTGTATGGTATATTTTGTTCTTGTGCTTTATGTAGTATACTAGTGAATATATCATAGTCATGATCAATTGTTGTGTCATCTGTGACCTCACCCTTTCCTTCTGGGGACTGACCTCACTGTTCCCAGGTGACCTCACCTAGATACCTTCTTAACCCCTGATAATCTGCCAACCGAAAGTTTGGGACTCTGATCATATTGTCATTGTTTTTCGTTTCCCAATTTAGGGTGAACCTGATTTCTCTGTGATCACTGTTACCTAGTTCTTCCCCTACTGTGATATCTCTGAAAATATTTTCTTTATTTGTTAATACTATGTCTAATATATTGTCACCTCTAGTAGGTTCTGTAATTAGTTGTTTAAAAATATTGTCCTGTACTGCATCTAGGAAGTCTTCAGATTCATAGTCACCTACAATGTTGTCCCAGTCAATATTTCTGAAGTTGAAATCCTCCATAATGCACCGGTTGTTCTATTTTGCTGCCCTACTCATTTCCTGCCATATAGGCCGAGCTGCTTCTTTCCCAAGACTTGGGGGCCTGTAAATCACTCCCATAAATAGTTTTTCTCTTCCTTACGTGATTTCTACCCATACAGACTCGGTTCCTATTTCACCCTTTATTGAATTATTAATACAACATTTTAATGTATCCTTGACGAAGAGTGCGACCCCTCCCCCCTTCCTACCTTCCCTGTCCTTGTGAAAAAGGTTGTACCCTTCTATGTGGTACTCTGATAAAAAAAAATTTGCTCGCCAGATTCATCCAAGTTTCGGTGATTGCTATGACGTCTACATTCTCGGTACATACAACCGCTCTCAGCAAGACTATTTTATTTCTAACGCTCCTACTGTTTGTATAGTACACATTTAAACCTACCCTTCCCTGGTCCTGTTTTACCCCTTGTCCTGAGTAACCAATTTTACTTCCCAAGACCTGCTTGTTTTTTGACTCCCACTTACCCCGACCTCTAAGGATTAAAATAAACATATCTATAGCAAATCTCCAGGTAAAATCATTATTACCCTCCTTCCTTCTCTCTCTCTCTCCCTCCTTCCTTCCCTCTCTCCATCTAGCAAGAGGTTCATAATAGTTTGATAGTTTGGGGGAACTTGAAGGAGCAAGCACTTTGGTGATTAGGATTCTCACCAATCAATACTAACGAGGAGACGAGACTACACACCCCAGTGATAGTGTAGTCCCATGCTAGAGGGAAGGTGTGTAGGGGTAGTAAATAAACACACACACACACACACACTACACACACACACACTCTCTCTCTCTCTCTCTCTCTCTCTCTCTCTCTCTCTCTCTTTCTCATAAGTACTGTAGATGTTGAGGATAATTTAAGAGGTTGTATTAATGATTCAGAGTTAACACCACGGTATCTTGAGGAACGTGTGTGTGTGTGTGTGTGTGTGTGTGTGTGTGTGTGTGTGCGGTGTGTGTGTGAGCTCAGGCTGATGTAACTATTTGCCTGCATCTAGATACCAGTGTACATACCGTTTGTTTACATGGATCTGCCACACATATAGGAACATACAATGAACTGTGTCCCAGAATACAGACACATCACATAGTTCATAACACAACAAAACAAAACAATATACATTACCTCGTTACCTTCATACAACATGATCTAGAAACAAAATATATTACAGTTAAATAAAGATGGAAATAGACTTAATCAATGTTGGAAGGTTTGTGCGCCAGGTGAGTGGAGACGGCGCTCACCTCCTGCCATAGGGTCGCTGGTCCGATCCCGGGGCACCCCCAGTCTACCCAGCTGGAGATGGGGAGAGTGTAGGTAGTCGAGTTATTTGTCGGTCAGGTCGTTTCTTATGAATAGAAGCATATAAAATAAAACCTCATTTGTTAAATAGATTCCTTACGTGTCGCAAGGCTGCCTGGTGTGTGTGTGTGCGGTGTGTGTGTGGTGTGTGTGTGTGTGTGTGTGTGTGTGTGTACAGTATCTTAGGGTTTTCCTCCGAGTAATGGCGTTATTGTTTTCGGGAAAGGGGAGAGAGGGAGAAAAGGAGGAGGGGTCGTGTTGCTAACCCCCGGTGAGTGACTAATTATTTATGTCTACTTACATTGTACTGTAAATGTCGGTCATGAGCGTCAGGTTGTCATGTGCGTATTCAGTGGACGTTTCCTTTATCCTGCTTCACAATACTTGTGTTTGAATATACATAATTTTTTATCTATTTTCTTGTATTCTTTGAGGCTGTATTATTTTTATATATATATATATATATATATATATATATATATATATATATATATATATATATATATATATATATATATATATATATATATATATATATATATATATATATATATATATATATATTTTTTTTTTTTTTTTTTTCCTAGTAAAACAGTATTAAAACCCTAGTGTGCTCCTGGTGAGATAATATCAATATCCTTCCTCCGACAGGATGCCTACCTGGTCAACACGAACGGAGACTCCTCAACGACCTCCTTCGGGACTACAACAAGCTGGAGCGACCTACAGCGAACGAGTCGTCGGCCATCGTCATTAAGTTGGGCCTCTCGCTACAGCAGATCATTAACGTGGTGAGTAGCCTAAGCCAGTGTCATGGTCAGGGAACCGAACACGGGGCATTAATGTTGGTTAAATACATACAGATTAAGTCCGCTTATCTCTTAGTGTGTGTATATATATATATATATATATATATATATATATATATATATATATATATATATATATATATATATATATATATATATATATATATATATATATACCTAGCTTGAATAGTCACACATGCTGATTATATGAATCTCCTTTAAATTCAATTAATTCTAGACGTATTTTTAGTAAATATTGATACTAAGTTTTGCATAGGTGCTGTGTGAGTGTGTGTGTGTGTGTGTGTGTGTATTAAGAGGACCTTAGTGGTTCTGATTATCAGTGTTATGTTAATTTTGAACTACTGAACTTGTACGAAAATCCAGGTATGTCAGTCACTTACCGCCTGATCAATCGAGACTACAGAAATTAGTCTTTATTGCGAATCACGTGATTTGTAATCATTAATGAAAGCATAAGTCAAGGCTAGACTCATACACAACTTAAATATCTTATCATCCAGGTAAAATTCTCGCCACACCTGTATAAACCTGAGGGAATTAGGCAGGTGAGTCAGACGGCAGACACTCCGCCAGTCTGACACTTTCGTCCAGATTAACGCTACAGTTTCGGCACCTGTAGGATTGAATACCTGGTTTGTTTGTTTTTTTGTTTACTAACCCTTGACGTTTTGCCTCCAAAATCAAATTTGTTCATTTTCGACTGGCAGCTGACCTATCTGTCTGTTTTCATTCCACTCGCTGTATCAGATTGAGTCGCACACACACACACACACACACACACACACACACACACACACACACACACACACACACACACACACACACATACACAGTATGGCACCATCTTTATAAACCCATAACATGACCCATTTTAACACTGGGGAGGGTAAGGTTATACTCTCCCTTTTAATCAACCACGAAGAAAAAAAAAATCACTGCGTCAGACTTTGGAAGATATTTCAAGAAGTTGTGATATAGTTTTAACGAGGATCTACCTGGTAAAGTTGGCCCCCGTGGTCTTCTTCTTTACTACTTACTGGGGAGAAAATTTGGTAAGTTCTGGCTACCTAAATTAAATTAATACATAGAGGAGTTAATTTTATCTTTACTATTTGTTAAAATGGGGAGAGGGAGGGGAGAGGAGGGTAGAGGGAGGGGAGGGGAGGGGAGGGACGGTAGGAAAGAAAGAGGAGGGGAGGGATTGAGAAGTGGAGAGGGAAAGGGAAGAGGAGAAGAGAAAAAAAGAGGGGAGGGGAGAAGAGAAGAGAAGGGAGGGGAGAAAAGATGAGAGGGTAGGGGAGGAGAGAAAAGAGGGAAGAGGAGGAGAGGAAAAGAAAGACGGAGTAGAGAGGAGGGGAGAAGAAGAAAGGGAGGGGAGAATAGAGGCGAGAAGAGAGGAGGAAAGGAGAGAAGAAGGCGAGGAGGGGAAGAGAGGATAATTAAGAGGAAATAAAAGTAGGATAGATTCATGTATCTGTTAACCTTTTGCTAAGTATCCTGGGACATAACCTCTTGTTTTCAACCGGAAATGTACAGAAGAGATTCGTAATTTCCAGATACAATTGTGTCTACCTTCCCCGTGTTAGTTCACTCTGCTTGTCCAATATTTACACATCTTTTATTTTGCGTCAACTATGAATCTCTCTTTTTTTTTTTTTTAGTTCCATGACAGAGTTTTTTTAATTAATTAAGAGATATATGTGTTGTTGTTTTTTAGGGTGATTATATGCAAATAAGAATAGGTGTGTTTCTGTTAATCCTAGGATGATCAAATTTGCGGTTGTTAATTTATGTTGAGGTTTGTTAGAAAGAGAGAGAGATAGAGACAAACGGACAGACATACAGATAGACAGGCAGACATATAAACAGACAAGCAGGCAGACATACAGACAGATAGATAGACAGAAAGACAGACAGATCGACAGATAAACAGACAAGCAGGTAGACATACAGACATATAGATAGACAGATAGACAGCTAGACAGACAAACAGATCGACAGATAAACAGACAAGCAGGCAGACAGACAAACAGACAGACAGACAGACAGACAGACAGACATATATATAGACAGACAGACAGGCTTATACTTCCAACATAAAAAAGACACACAATTTAATATTTCGACCGTCAAACGAAAAAAAAATCACACACAACACACAGTAATACCTCCATACTCCATAAATAAATATACAACACATCCAGCATTAAAACACACACACACACACACACACACACACACACACACACACATACACACACAACACAACACACACACACACCATCCATAATCATATCACTCTTAATCATCATCTAAACACAGGCTAACAAACTAATACTTCTGTGGCTTCTTCTATTATAATACAAACTTACAGAAAACACATATACAGGGTCATCAAAAATTTATGTCTAATTTTTTTTTTCATATATAGAATCATTTACAATCTGGACATTCATTTTCAAACACTCTGTATTTATTTATACCCCAGCCGAACCTGATCCCTGGCATTATCATATTGAGTATGGAAGAAAAAAAAATATCTTGCATATTTGCCTCTCTGAAAAAAAAGAAAAATAATCCTCTTTCCTTTCCCTTATCCGGTGTAATGGAATATTTATATGTTTATTGGTCCTCTTTAGATGCAGGTAAACATTAATATGGAATGAGGGAGGGATGTGCTAGCTAGTGGACTGTGCCATGACTCTCAGGCTGTATGGGAATATGGAGGATATAATCTATGGTGTAAAGAGATGCTAGTAATGGTAGAGATATGCTTAAGTGTAAACTATATACATCGTGTCTATATTACATACAATACAATATAGATAGTTTATAACAGAACCAAGTACAGGGCCCTTACATCAACACCTACAGGCAGGTTACTAACAGGCAATTGTTCAGTATCCCTTTCCTGAACACACACACACACACATCCTATCTAGATGCCAAAAATTCTCACCAAGAACACTAATTATCTGAGGATCGAACCCGGCTAATGTAAACACTCTGAATAGTGTTCGTTATCAAACCCAGAGAGCCAACGCCCATGATAGCCTTGCTCTTCAGATAATAGCCGGAGGACTGAAGAGGAGTAGGAGGGGAGGGGGGTAGGGTAGATGAGAGGAGGGGGTAGAGGAGGAGGAGGAAGAAGGATAGAGATGAGGAGGAGGATGGGATGAGGAGAAAAGAGAAAGAAAAAAATGGAAGGTCGAGGGAGATGGGGAAAGGGAGAATATATGAAAGGTAGGAGAGGGGAGGAGGAGAAAAATGAGAGGAGGGAGAGGGGAAAGAGGGGGAGAGAAGATATGAGAGGGAGAAGCTGGGGTAGTAGGAAGAGGAGGAGGAGAAATGGAAAGAAAAGAGGGGAGTAGGAGGCAGGAAAGGGGGAGCATGAAGTAATGGAAAGGAGGAGAGAGAGAGGGAGAGAGGCGGACAGATAGATAAAGAAAGAGATAGAGGGAAATGTAGGTAAGACATTAAAAGAAAAAGAGAAGGAAGAAAGAGACAGAAACGACGAAAAAAATAAAGACAAAACGAGTGAGAATGAAAGGCATTAAAGGAAGCGGAAAAGATGCTTGAGGGAAAGAGAAATGTGAAGGAAGGGAGGAACTAAGAGGAAGAGAATAACAGCGGAAGAGGAACAGAAGGAAAACAAGTGTTAATATTAACTTATTTATCTATCTATTCTCTGAACAAATATTGGAAAAATCTTTTACCAGGAAATTCCAGCAATAATCTTTATCTCCGTGTTTGCCAAGACTCTGAGGAAAAAACACTTTAATGATTCACTTCTACTGGAGTTTAGAATAAAGAAAAAACATATGCTAATGATACCAATATGTTATCAGAACACATGGGACGTAGTTTATATTATATGGGAGTAAACAGTAAACCCACGTATGGCTTAATATTCCTGTAGGGATTATTACTGTAATATAAGATCAAGCTATACTGTTAGGCTACAGAATCTAGAGTTAAGCTATATAATGTTTGTATGGCCTCAGAGGCAACAGCATGGTGTACTGTACAATAACAGGGAACAGATTTACTGTTGGCAGCTTCGTGTCATCTGATATATACAGTATTTACTCTGGTGTGCTGTGTAAGAAAGAGCCAACAACAATGGTGTGTTCAATACTGAGACCTGTCTGTACAGTTTGCACTAAATAGGGATAATTGCCGGTATTGTAAACTTCCTATTGGCCATAAATGACCATGTATATAATATTATTATATATATATATATATATATATATATATATATATATATATATATATATATATATATATATATATATATATATATATATATATATATATATATATATATATATATATATATATACTGTTTTAATAAAATAATATACATATATTCGTCCACATTATGAAAGTATGTTTGTAAAAATCAAATCAAATTCCATATCAAAATATAATTATGGCGAGGTTGTGTGAGTCCAACAATATCCCAATTTCCTCTATTTCAATTAGACTTTATCCATTTATTGGAGGCGGTAATAGATAATATAATTTATGGCAGTTTTGTGTTATTCTTTACACATTATGGGAAAAATTGGTAATAAACGTTACAGCCAAAAGGTTGTTTATCATTAATCATTAAATTGAAACCCAGTTGATTGGTCGTTATTATTACATGACAGTTGTGTGTCACGTAGGTCCTTCTAACCTTCTCAAACCTCCTCACTGACCCCTTTGTTCCTCAGTGAATGATGCTCTTATAGTTATACAGTATATATTCTTTGTGTTCATAATATTAAACTATAATTTCTCATCACAATCCTAGGAACCGTTAATAATTACAATTCCCGATCTTAGTTTCTGATACACGTTCCAACTATTCTCATTCCTTAACATCGAACACAATTCCTGGTCCCTATTCCAGTCCTTATTCCCAATCCCAACGCTAGCATGAGTCCCCGTTCTAATTCCATGGCACCGGTTCCTGGCATTATTCCTGGTGGTGGGCAGGTAGGGAATGTCAGCAGCAGGCACAAACACCACTAGTCCATTGTCTCTAGTTAATAGGAAATTGTGCCTCCAATACAGATTAAAACTGGAGCTTAATAGAGAGGGAATATATTTAACTTTATAATATATGAGAGGGAATACATGAGTGGGGTAAGTTTAGCTTTAATATGTATGAGAGGGTGGGTGTGAGTGGTGAAGGTGAGGCGTGAGGGTGGGAAGGGGTGGTGAAGGGGCAGGTTGAGGGTGGGAATGGGTGGTGGAGGGTACGGGTGAGAGTGGTAAGGGGTGGTGAAGGGGCAGGTTGAGGGTGGGAATGGGTGGTGAAGGGTAAGGGTGAGAGTGGGAAGGGGTGGTGAAGGGCAGGTTGAGGATGGGAATGGGTGGTGAAGGGTAGTGCAGTGGGGTAATGGGTGGTGAAGGGGCAGGTTGAGGGTGGAATGGCGGTGACGTGATAAATAACGTGATAGATGGCATGATAGACGACGCGGGATAGATGACATGATAGATGACGTGATAGAGACATGATAGATGACGTGATAGATGACGTGATAGATGACGGATAGAGACATGATAGATGACGTGATAGTTAACGTGATAGATGACGTGATAGATGACGTGATAGATGATTTTAGATGACGTGGATAGATGACATGATAGATGACGATAGAGACATGATAGATGACGGATAGTTAACGTGATAGATGACGTGATAGAGACATGAGATGACGTGATAGACGACGATAGATGACATGATAGATGACATGATAGATGACGTGATAGATGACGTGATAGAGACATGGTAGATGACGATAGATGACGATAGAGACATGATAGATACGTGATAGACGACGTGATAGATGACATGATAGATGACGATAGAGACATGATAGATGACGTGATAGATGACGTGATAGATGACGTGAGAGAGACGATAGATGACGTGATAGATGACGGATAGATGACGTGATAGATGACATGATGATGACGTGATGATGACGTGATAGGCGACATGATAGATGACGTGATAGACGATAGATGACGTGATAGATGACGTGATAGATGACGTGATAGATGACATGATAGATGACGTGATAGAGACATGATAGATGACGTGATAGTTGACGTGATAGATGACGTGATAGATGACGTGATAGATGACGTGATAGATGACATGATAGATGACGTGATAGAGACATGATAGATGACGTGATAGTTGACGTGATAGATGACGTGATAGATGACATGATACAACATCCCTTGAACACCACCGTCATCATTTATACTTAGGTTAGGTAAACTCAGCTCGTATCGTAAGCTTTAACCCACTATAAATACCATCAAAGTCTACCAATAAACCTTCAATAACATCGTAAGTACAATTTCAATTTATAGAATATCAAAGGGAGTTGCAGACATCCCCAGTGTGTGTGTGTGTGTGTGTGTGTGTGTGTGTGTGTGTGTGTGTGTGTGTGTATACCCACGAGGGCTCCAGGACTCCCCTAACAACATAGTCAACAGTAATGGCTTGTAGTCTAATTTAACTTATCATATGGGGGACTATATACTCTCGGTCTTCCCTCCCTTTTATTTCCTCTCTCACCTCTCTCCTTCCCTCACTGACACTCCCCTCTTACCTACCTCCTCCATTCCCCTACTTCTCTTTCTACAATATCCTCCGCCTCTTCCTTCTTGACACTTCCAACCTCTTTCTTCTCCCCCTCCTACTCCTATTTGCTTTTTCTCCTCTCCTCCTCTCTTAAATTCCTCTACCTCTCTACCTCTGACATCCTTCTCTTACCTCCTCATCCTCTTCTCTTCTCTTCCTCCCCTTCTTAGAGACACTATCCTCTCAACATGACTCACACTGGGAGCCTCGTGAACCTAACCAGAGAAACACAGGTTCTGACATCAACAGACCTTAGTGGTAAAATTCTGTGTGTGTGTGTGTGTGTGTGTGTGTGTGTGTGTCCTCTTGATGTGGTTCGCCAAAGCCTCTATATCCTGTCATTTCATCTGTCGTCTCCCAGTTTTCTGTCCTTCCCGCATATTTTAATAGAATCTCCGTAAAAAGACCTCAAAATTAGTGTCTTTAATCTCTACTCATAGATAAATTAGGTTTTTTTAATCCTATTAGTGTCTTATGGTAATTCATCATATATGTAAAATTATATGCAAATTCTGGAATATTAGACAGAAGTTTAAGTAAAATACCCGGTTAATGTGTGAGGAGTACTCGGTATCTCGCTTTAGACCACCGTGGTTAATTCTTCTATTCCGAACTAAAACCATCGGCAGTTGTTGGCTGTGTGTAAGAGAAAAACAATGTTGAAGATGCCGGGTTAGTTAATAGAAGCTTATCTTGTGTGTATTAAAGTATAGGATTCTTTCAGTTTGGTAAAAACCATTAAGTATTTAGACGTTGAGATAATGATTGAACTGAGGCATATTTGTTTATTATCAATGGAATGACACAAGACGTAATAAGATACACAGGTCTTCGTTCATAAGAAATTTCATAATCATACTGTTGATATGACAGACAGACAGACGGACGGACCTTCCGATTATACTCCACTGTTAAGGTTTTGTTTTGGAATAAGAACAAAACACAAGGTTTCAATAATCCATGCTAAAACCCCTAATAAATACTTCCTTAACTAAGTTAAGAATTGTTTTTTATCGTGAAATGTGGACATTTCCGAATGGTACACTCAGTCAACCCGCCCTCTCCGTGAGGTGTGAACCCCGAGAGTATCGACTCATGAAGCCGAAGCATTCACGAGTGAGAGGGTGAGACAGGGTGAGGAAGGGGTGAGAGGGTAAGGGAGAGGTTTGAGGGTGAGTATGTAAACAAAATTCACAAATATTGACAAACTTTTTTTTTCCAACAGAAGTTTTGTTGCTAAAAATCACTTTCTAAATAAAAATTTCCGTCTGAGAGATTTTATTTCTAGTTTTATATTCAGGTTTGTGTGAATCCTTCCATGAAAAGTGTTTTTATTTCATTATAACATTATTTTAATTTTGAAATTTTTCCACTCTTCCATTTTTGTTTTGCTTTTGTGACTAAAGAGGTTATATCAGGGATTCAAAAGTTTGCACTACGCTAATTTGAATATATATATATATATATATATATATATATATATAGTCACATTATATTTTCAGGAACCCCTTCAAGGGAAGTAATGTTCTCAAAAGCCTCGGCCATTCATAACTCTTCTCTCTTTGTACAATTTATGTTTATAAACCTGCTGGTTAAATAAACACCTTTACTTTCTTTGTTAAATAGGGAGTGAAAAGTAATGTGTAATATTTTATTTTCCAGGACGAGAAGAACCAGATCCTTACAACGAACGTGTGGCTAAACTTTGTAAGTATTTACCGAGTAGTTACTGTGTGTGTGTGTGTGTGTGTGTGTGTGTGTGTGTGTGTGTGTGTGTGTGTGTGTGTGTGTGCGAAGAAATAAGATGTTCAATGTCGTCTTAGGTGTAACTACTGCAATTGTATCACTGTATTGGATGAACTCATATGCTCGTATGTTACTGTTTTATTGTATTTCAAAGTAATTCTTCATATATTCACATTAATGCTTAATTGTTTATTTGTTTTAATTTTATTTTATTTCCTTAACAAAGACAGAAGTGTAATAGAAACTAACATACACTATTCGATAGATTATTGCTTTCTATTGATTTGTACTTAATGCTGATTCATATATGAGAATACTAATAATGATGATTAAGAATGGGAATAGTAATAAGAAAAGTAGTAATAATAGTTTTGATAAGTCATCTATTAGGGTCAATAAACATGGCTCAATAAGAAATACGAAAAAAATATTAATATAAATTTCACCTAAATAGCTTTGAATATCACCCACAAATTTCCCTTATTAAATATCTCTACCATAACCACCTTATCCGTTATGATATGGCCAAAAGGTCGCATTATCATCCAAAGTCCGCATATTTACAGCCAGCCTTAATACGTCTTAATTTGTCTTTCTATCAGTATAAAGTAACTTAACAGTCTCTAGAACCAAACTTCAAAGGCCTGTAAGAAAGATAAGTCAGTATAGTAAAAGAGATGTAACTAATGCCTTCTTTGAGTCACAGTCACAAACACCAGCGGAACATACACTCTCCTAAAATAGGCTGTGACGTCATCAGAGCTCAGACCCGCGGTCCCGACACAAAACTGCTTACTGATTGGCCAGCCATTACAGTCTCGTGAACACTGGAAGACGGTGAAGCCAATTAACAGTCATAAAAATATCGCTGCTGGGAGAAAGCAAACTATTTGTGTCCAAGTTAACTTTCATCTCGGATATATTCCTTCCTTAGAGCACCATGGCTCGCCTCCCCTTGCCTAGATCTGTGACAAGACTAAAAAAAATATCGTTAACATAAGTGACTCGGAAGAATCGTTAAACAACAAGTTCCTTAAAACGAAAAAAGTGAAGAAACTGAAGGCCAGTAACCTCATTTACAATTCTGAAATAAGCTCTCACCGGGAAGACTTAGGTAAGCAAAGAAAAATGGCCGTAATAAGGCGTCTTCCTGGCTGAGTTTTGTACCAGGTGGGTGGGTAATCCCCCTAGAGGGCCCTGAGGGAAGGCCACAGTCTGGAGAGAGAGAGAGAGAGAGAGAGAGAGAGAGAGAGAGAGAGAGAGAGAGAGAGAGCAGCCTACAAGGGGAAGCCAATTATATGCTAATACTTAGAGCATACCTCCCGGCCTATCTGAATAATTGAAGAATCTGAAGCTTTATAAGACTTTCAAGAGCAAATTACGTCTATAAATTTAAGAGATGGACGATCCCAACTCTCTCAAGCCTTCAGATACCACGTGTACCTCTAAGCCCGGCGTTCGTACCTTAGCGATGGTCAATATTTGCCCACCACTTGATGAAAGCCATCCGGGATATTTTTCGTCCCCACTCTACAACTAGAATTATTTTGTGACTCTTGGCCAAAGTGTCGTCTTTATGGTGAAGCTTACAAGGCAGGTTTCCTTAGCTGCCCTCCCACAGAACGGCGATAGGACTGTATATTTCTGTGAAGTATAAAGATTATTGTTGTATTTTGTGTTTGTCTGGAGTATAGATGCTTCTCTTTATGGTATGCGTTGTCTGTTGATGTCTGTGTTTAGGTTGTGTCTGTGTATGTATTGATACAAAGACAATATTTTGAAATAGAGAGGCTGAGAGAGAGAGAGAGAGAGAGAGAGAGAGAGAGAGAGAGAGAGAGAGAGAGAGATACACGATCCATAAAGTATTTATTGCTGTACCTTACTACTCTTTACATAACTATAGAATCTCTTTCATTATATACAAGTTTATATTTTATTAATGTTTGTATTTTAATGTTTGTTGTTTATATATTAATGTTGTTTTGTCATCCTCCACCCTGTGTGTGTACGTGGTCGGTTTCATACATGTGTGGATGATATATACATATAATAAACATATTTAGATGTAAACATTTGGATATATTTATCAATTTCAGCTGACATATGTGTATATGTGTGTTTGATGAATATTAGTACAGGTTTAACTGTTTTTACTAGACTTTACATATGGTTGAAGGAACGTGTGCTGTCAGGAATTTAAATGAACATGTAGAGAAAATTGAACATATAAAACATGCATACATTATAATAGGTCACAGGTGTACAAATTACCTTTACGTATGGACATGCTCTTAGAGTCGTGTACAGAGGGTAAATAAACAACATTCACTCACTAAGTCTTCACCCCTTGCGCTATTTATTCCAACAAGCATTATTTCCCCTTGTCTAGTCCAGCTCATGAAGGCTAACACAGCAGTTGGCTGTCCAGTTGATCTATTATCCTCATTTGAATAAATATTATCCATATATGACAAAAAATTTATACGCCAGTAATCTGTTTTGTCAACAAATATGATATTTACACATAATAAAGTAATATTTTATTATTAACTTAAATTCTAGCTTTAATCCAATTACGACGATTATAAAAAACATTATTATTATTATTAATATTATTATTATCATTATTATTATTATTATTATTATTATTATTATTATTATTATTATTATTATTATTATTATTGTTATTATTATTATTATTATTATTATTATTATTATTATTATTATTATTATTATTATTATTATTATTATTATTATTATTATTATTATTATTATTATTATTATTATTATTAAACACAGATTCCAATAGCATCTGAAGTGGAGAACATTCCATAACAACTAATCAATATCTAATATCCATATTGATCAGATTACTATATTAACCAAAGTTACATATCACGCCCACACACTCACACCCGTCTGCATGACAATGAAATATATATGTAGTAGTTGACCTGTTTACCACTCATAAACATTGACCAAATATAACAACTGGTTACCCGAATACTAATTATGATGATCAACATTAAAAAGTCAGACATTGATGTATGGAATTATGGTTGTTTTTATTCGTGTGTGTGTGTGTGTGTGTGTGTGGTGTGCTGTATAATGGCTATGTGTCTCTGTGTGTGTCCTGTATAATGGCTATGTGTCCCCTGTATAATAGCTGTGTCCTTGTATAATGGCTATGTGTCCCTGTATAATATTGTGTCCGTATTGCTATGTGTCCCCTGTATAATAGCTGTGTCCCCTGTATAATGGCTATGTGTCCCCTGTATAATAGCTGTGTCCCCTGTATAATGGCTATGTGTCCCCTGTATAATAGCTGTGTCCCCTGTATAATGGCTATGTGTCCCCTGTATAATAGCTGTGTCCCCTGTATAATAGCTGTGTCCCCTGTATAATGATTGTGTCCCCTGTGTAATGGCTATGTGTCGCCTGAAGCATAATCTGTATCCGTGTTCACTGGCCGTGTATCTTACAGGAGTGGCAGGACCACAACTTGATGTGGAACGAGTCGGACTATGGCGGCGTGGCGGACCTAAGGATACCCCCAAAATACCTATGGACACCTGACGTCCTCATGTACAACAGGTGAGTAACACAAGGGGTGAGAGGTGAGGGAAGGGTGAGGGGGGTGAGAGAGGGAGTGAGAGGGGTGAGGGAGGGATGAGAGGGGGAGAGGTAGGGTTGAGAGGGGGAATAGGGATGAGAGAGGTAAGGAAAGGATGAAGGTGAAGGAATACATAGAGGAGGAGGAGAGGAAGAAGAGGAAAGAGAAGAATAGAATAAAGGAAGGAAAAAGGGAAACAAGTAATGATGAATAAATAGTGACGGATAAGAGAAACTTTAATAATATGAAAAAATAAAAATATAATGATTACCTAGACTAAGAGATAAAGAGATAAACATATATTTTGTGACTTATTTAATAGACTACGATATATGATCTAACCTCCTCCAGATTTGCTATATTTTTTCTTCTAGTCACTACTAAATTTTTCGTCCATCACATATTAATCACTATTATATACTGTATAAAAAAATCATCTCTGTCAATACTAGTAAGAAAAAAAAAATAGACATATATATTAATGTATGTTGACCATCTGCCAGAATCCCTCACCTGGAAAAAAAAAACATTGATCAGGGTAATGTTTTGCTGGTAAATAAACATCGCTCTGGTAAAATAAACCCAACACCCACACTGGCATCTGAGTTACTGTACACTGAGACTCTCCCTTAACTACCTGGGACTAACTTAGATATACATAAGATGAAACAAGAAATTATTTAGCCACGGTAGAGTTCTCAGTGCAGCTTTCCTGGAGTTTAGATGTGTTCTCATTTCCTCGCTTAGGATTAAAACTTACTTTGCGAACCTTTGAGGAACCGGATTCAGGTCTTTTCTCAAGGTAGTCGTCTTATAAAATGAATATCACACTTAATGGCCTTTATGATGTGGTGGTGACTCTGCTGCCACCACCTATCCCTGTAGTGTGTGTGTGTGTGTGTGTGTGTGTGTGTGTGTGTGTGTGTGTGTGTGTGTGTGTGTGCGTGTGCCTTTTATATATAACTATACTAAAAGTAATATTAATAGTAATAGTAACCCTTGTAATAATACTGTTATTACAACTATTAATAATATTAATTGACTCTACCAACAAACTAATCCACTCGCCAAAATACACAACAGCTAATTCCTATTAAAACTCAGAAATAATCGAGGTATAAAAGCAAATCACACCTTACAACATAAACGCCCATATATAGTGAGAGGAACTGGTAGGACAGTATTAAGAAACGATATTTTATGCCGTCTTTAGCACCGAGCACTCCTGCCTGACGATCCTGAATGACATATTGTGTAGTCTAGGACGTCAAGCACTGGAGAAGCCAGGTTAAGTATTTCGGAGTATGAGGGTGAGGAGCCAGGTCAATTGTCTGGGAGTGTGAGGGTGAGGAGCCAGGTCAAGTGTCTAGTGTGGAGGGGTGAGGAGCCGGTCAAGTGTCTGGGAGGTGAGGGTGAAGAGCCAAGTCAAGTGTCTGGGAGTGTGGAGGGTGAGGAGCCAGGTCAAGTGTCTGGGAGTGTGAGGGGTGAGGAGCCAGGGTGTCTGGGAGTGTGGAGGGTGAGGAGCCAAGGCCGTCTCTGGGAGTGTGAGGGTGAGGAGCCAGGTCAAGTGTCTGGGAGTGTGAGGGTGAGGAGCCAGGTCAAGTGTCTGGGAGTGTGAGGGTGAGGAGCCAAGGTCAAGTGTCTGGGAGTGTGGAGGGGTGAGGAGCCAGGTCAAGTGTCTGGGAGTGTGAGGGTGAGGGGCCAAGGCCAAGTGTCTGGGAGTGTGAGGGTGAGGAGCCAGGTCAAGTGTCTGGGAGTGTGAGGGTGAGGGGCCAAGGTCAAGTGTCTGGGAGTGTGAGGGGTGAGGAGCCAGGTCAAGTGTCTGGGAGTGTGAGGGTGAGGGCCAAGGCCAAGTGTCTGGGAGTGTGGAGGGTGAGGAGCCAGGTCAAGTGTCTGGGAGTGTAGGGGTGAGGAGCCAGGTCAAGTGTCTGGGAGTGTGAGGGTGAGGAGCCAGGTCAAGTGTCTGGGAGTGGAGGGGTGAGGAGCCAAGGTCAAGTGTCTGGGAGTGTGAGGGGTGAGGAGCCAAGGTCATGTCTGGGAGTGTGAGGGTGAGGAGCCAGGTCAAGTGTCTGGGAGTGTGAGGGGTGAGGAGCCAGGTCAAGTGTCTGGGAGTGTGAGGGTGAGGAGCCAGGTCAAGTGTCTGGGAGTGTGAGGGGTGAGGAGCCAGGTCAAGTGTCTGGGAGTGTGAGGGTGAGGAGCCAGGTCAAGTGTCTGGGAGTGTGAGGGTGAGGAGCCAGGTCAAGTGTCTATATTGCGTTTTATTTCTTTGAACTTGGGAGGAAAGTAGTAGTAATAGCAGACCTGGTGGTGGTAGTAGTAGAAGTAGTAGTAGTAGTAGTTAAAAAAATAGTTATAAAAAGTAGTAGTAGTAGTAGTAGTAGTAGTAGTAGTAGTATGGCTAGCACTATTAACAACATTATTTAACGATGAATGGAATAGACTATGTTCATTATATTAAATACATACCGGTGTAGTTTTTTTGGTCCACATTAAGTAGTAAAAACGACAAACACTCACATAATTGTATTAACCATTACCAGTTATAATAAACGAATAAAGTCTAATTAAAAAAAACCCCACAATATTTTGGGTCTGATATATACACAAAATAATTATATTTAGGAATTACCTTTCATTGATAACTACAAATGAAGCTCCATTATAATACACAATTATATAAAAACATCAATATAGGTTTATAAATACCTATAAATATCTCGTATTTTGATCACATTAATATAAGCTCATTGTTTATAAGCTGACCAAGATCTCTGGGTTTAAGATGTGGGTAATGATTGACCTTGTGTGCTCTGGGAGGTTAGTCTGGTAGTGATGATGGTTTGTTTATACTGTATCTGTGTATGGGGTAGTATTTGTTTTATCTCTCTATCTCTGTCTCTTTCTTTTATTCTCTCTCTTTTATTTTTTTATTTCTTACTATTTAGAGGTGTGTGTGTGTGTGTGTGTGTGTGTGTGTGTGTGTGTGTGTGTGTGTGTCTCTTCTTCTTCGCCTTCTTCTTTCTCCTCGCCTTCTTCCTTCTCCTTGTCCTCTTCCTCTTCCTGTTTTTCTCCTCCTCTTCCTTCTTCTTTGTACTTAAGGAACACACCTACAATTATCTCTCCTCCGGTCAGGAGAAAAAAGAAAAAGTCACTGACATAAACTTTATATATATATATTTTTTTCTTTAAACGTCGAGGACTGGATATAAGTCATGCCAGCTCTCTCTCTCTCTCTCTCTCTCTCTCTCTCTCTCTCTCTTTCCTTCCTCAAAGAGCTTTAAGCGACCTTACCGTAACTTCTCTAGTCACCTTTGATCCAGACTCCTGAAGATAGTTTGAAAGTCATGAATTTTTTTTTTTAAACTATACATTTACCACATCACCACTACCACCACTTCTTCCTCCTTCGTTTTTCTTCTTCCTTCCTTCCTCTTCCTTCTTCTCCTTCCTACTACTCCTATCGATTTTACCTTTCCTCCCTCCCCCTCCTACTACCTTTCACCCCTCCCTCCTCCCATCACCTCCACCCTTTTCCTCCTCCCTCGTCCGTGTTACTCTCCACCTTTCCTCCTCCCTCCTCCGCCCAACCACACACCTCCACCCTGTCCTCCTCCCTCCTCCGCCCAACTAACCACCTCCACCTTCTTCCTCCCTCCCTCCTCCGCCCTACTACACCACTCCACCTCTTCCTCCCTCCCTCCTCCGCCCAATCATCACCTCCACCTCTTTCCTTCCCCTTCCTTTCCACCTCCCTCCTGCCCACTGGTTCCCTGTCAGCGGTAACTTTGAACCTTCACTAATATGCTATTCCAAGGAAATAAAACTCGAGTCAGGATAACAGGACCAGAGGGAAAGATTATCCGAGTGAGTGAATGAGTGAGTGAGTGAGGGAGGGGGGTGAGGAGGGAGGGAGGGAGGAGTGAGGGAGGGAAGGAGGAGGAGGAGGGAGGGAGGGGGTGAGTGAGGGAGGAGTGAGGAGGGAGGAGGGGAAGGAGAAGGAGGAGGGAGGGGTGAGGGAGGGAGGAGGGAAGGGAGTGAGGGAGGGAGGAGGAGTGAGGGAGGAAGGAGGAGTGAGTGAGGGAGGAAGGAGAGGAGGAGGGAGGGGGTGAGGAGGAGGAGGAGGAGTGAGGGAGGAGGAGGGAGGGGAGTGAGGGGAAGGGAGTGAGTGAGGGAGGAAGGAGGAGTGAGGAGGGAGGAAGGAGGAGGAGGAGGGAGGGAAGGGGGTGAGTGAGGGAGGAGGAGGAGGGAGGAGGGAAGGAGTGAGGAGGAGGGAGGGGGTGAGGAGGAGGAGGAGGGGAGTGAGGAGGGAGGGAGGAGGAGGGGAGGGAAGGAGTGAGTGAGTGAGGGAGGGAGGGGGTGAGTGAGGAGTGAGGAGGAGGAGGGAGGGAAGGAGGAGTGAGTGAGGGAGGGGGGGAAGTGAGTGAGGAGGGAGGGGGTGAGGAGGAGGGAGGGAAGGAGGAGGAGTGAAGGAGGGGGTGAGTGAGGGAGGAGTGGGGAGGGAGGGAGGCGGTGAGGAGGGAGGGAGAAGGGGAGGAAGGAGGAGGAGTGAGGGAGGGGGTGAGGGAGGGAGGGGGTGGAGGAGGGAGGCGGTGAGGAGGAGGAGGAGGGAGGGAAGGTGAGTGAGGAGGGAGGGAGGGAAGGGAGGAGGAGGAGGAGGAGGGAGGGAGGGAAGGAGGAGTGAGTGATGAGGAGGGAGGGGGGGTGAGTGAGGAGGGAGAGGGGGAAGGAGTGAGTGAGTGAGGGAGTGAGCGAGTGAGTGAGTGAGGAGGGAGGGAGGGAAGGAGTGAGTGAGTGAGCGAGTGAGTCTGCCGTACAGAAGGATTATGAAGGTGTGTTTTTATTCCTTCTATAAATTCACTTTTTTCTGACTCGACTTTATTCCTACTTTGTCTTGATGAGCCGAATTTTCCTTGAAATTTACAGAAATATTCAAATTACTTGATTTATTTCACCTTTTTTTTTTAATAATTTAATTTACAAT